TCTTGTCAAGGTTGAGCTTGAGGTGGTGAGCAGACATCCACTGAGAGATGTCTGCTAGACAAGCAGAGATGTCCGCTAGACAAGCAGAGATGCGTGCGACGACTTGGGTCTCTGAGCGGGGTAAAGACAGAATTAATTGGGAGTCGTCAGCGTAGCAGTGGTATGAAAAACCATGCAGGCTAATGATGACAGATCCGAGCGAGTTTGTGTACAGGGAGAAGAGGAGGGGACCGAGAACAGAGCCCTGAGGGACCCTTGTAGTTAATTGACAAGGGTCGGACTCCGATCCTCTACAAGTTACCCTGTAGGTGCGGTTTCTTAAGTATGAGGTGAGGAGGGAAAGTGCAGAGCCTGAAACTCCAAGTTCTTGGAGAGTGCGAAGGAGGATCTGATGGTTCACCTTGTCAAATGCAGCAGACAGGTCCAGAAGGATGAGGACAGAGGAGAGGGAGGCTGCTTTAGCCGTGTGCAGTTCCTCAGAGACAACGAAGAGAGCAGTTTCTGTGGAGTGACCTGCCTTGAAACCAGACTGGTTCGGATCATCAAGGTTGTTCTGACTGAGATAACAGGAGAGTTGTTTAAAGACAGCGCGTTCAAGTGTTTTAGACAGGAACGGGAGGAGAGAGACAGGCCTGTAGTTTATAACATCAGACGGGTTGAGAGTGGGTTTCTTTAGGAGAGGGTTTACTCTTGCCTCCTTGAGACTGTTTGGAAAGTGACCAGAAGTTAGAGAAGTGTTGATGAAATGGGTGAGAAACGGTAGAATATCAGGAGCGATAGTCTGAAGGAGGTTTGAGGGGATAGGGTCCAGAGGACAGGTGGTAGGACGGGCAGAGGTAATGAGGGTAAGAACCTCACTTGGAGAGAGAGGGGAACATGAGGTTAGTGTGTTGGTGAAGAGAAGGTCTGGTGACCCCTTTAATTAGTTAAAGGTGACATGTCATGCTTTTCCGGTTATTACCCGTCCCCTTGTGTGTTATGAAGGTTTTTCTGCATGTAAACGGTGTGCAGAGTCAAAACCCTTAAAGTACACCCTGTAGCGAGTAAAACTCTAACACAGAAAATACCTCCCCAAAACGCCTCGTTGGTGAAACGTCATCATCCATTTGATTCTTCCGGGTACGTGCTTACGAAAGCACGTACCCGGAACTAAATGGGCCAATCCGTGGAGGNATTATTATATAGCGCCAAATCGCAACTGAAGTAATCTATCTACGGTCACTTTTCGCATTGAACATGTGCTCTTTTATTAAATAAACTAAACG